TTAAATTTAAAAAGAAATGTGAGTTCACATAGGTATTAGCCTTTTAAAAATCTAAATTGTGAGTATCTTCAGGTAAAACTTAAGCTGTTTCCAGTTCATTCTTAAGAGTAACTGAACCTTAGACAAATTGAAAAATAAAAGAAGTAAAAACCATTTTCCATCCTCAAAATGTATGATTTTATTTAATATTTTCTCTGTGAATAGGTAAAACTTGCAAATATTAAGATTTTAATATTGGGTCCCTGAAGTGCAATTTTGCCAATAGCTTCCATTTAAGAAATATTTTTAAATGGTGCAAAGCACAAATGTATAAAATCAGCTGCAACGTGTAGTTGATTGGGCACTAAGACATCAGACTTGGTACTACTGTAGAGAGGACGACTTGTAGACCATCACTAGGGAAATCAGCTTTGCTGGATGCATATTCAAAGGGGAATACTTCTTTATCAAGACACTTGGGAAAAAAGATTTAATTTTCTTGAAAGAATGAACCTCTACTGCCAACAAGACTTGATAGTGACACACCCACACACGTGCACTAATTTAGAATGAACAAAATCTAAATAATTGCGGAAATCCACAGGACCATGTATTTTAGTAAGCTGACAGTTATTTCTTATGGTAAATACTGGGAATAAGAAATTTCTCCTAAGATGGTATATTATTGTGTCATTAAATTATAACTACATCTGACCTCGTCTTATCAATTCCTCACGCACAAACAAGAGAACTGTTTAATGATATCATCTTTATAGTCTATAAACAAGCATTATCAGACATTGTTCAAATATTTGGATCTAGAAAGGGATGTCAAGGTGTGACACTCACTACACCTCCCAGGCCCCGTTGCCTGGGGCTCTTCCTTCCTTAAAAACTGCAACTCCGCTTCAGAGATAAAAACGCTGCAACACAGATTCTAAAAGCCAATGAATTAGAGCTGCCATTTGAGTTTTGCACAAATTTTTTTTATTATTTTTATTCATATGTGCATACAATGCTTGGGTCATTTCTCCCCCCTGCCCCCATCCCCTCCCTTACCACCCACTCCGCCCCTCCCTCTCACCCCACCTCAATACCCAGCAGAAACTATTTTGCCCTTATCTCTAATTTTGTTGTAGAGAGAGTATAAGCAATAATAGGAAGGAACAAGGGTTTTTGCTGGTTGAGATAAGGATAGCTATACAGGGCATTGACTCACATTGATTTCCTGTGCGTGGGTGTTACCTTCTAGGTTAATTCTTTTTGATCTCACCTTTTCTCTAGTTCCTGTTCCCCTTCTCCTATTGGCCTCAGTTGCTTTTAAGGTATCTGCTTTAGTTTCTCTGCTTTGAGGGCAACAAATGCTATCTAGTTTTTTAGGTGTCTTACCTATCCTCACTCCTCCCTTGTGTGCTCTCGCTTTTATCATGTGCTCAAAGTCCAATCCCCTTGTTGTGTTTGCCCTAGATCTAAGAAATTCAAATGGCCAAAAAACACATGAAAAAATGCTCACCATCTCTAGCAATAAAGGAAATGCAAATTAAAACCACACTAAGATTCCACCTCACGTCTGTTAGAATAGCCATCATCAGCAACACCATGAACAACAGGTGTTGATGAGGATGTGGGGAAAAAGGAGCCCTCTTACACTGCTGGTGGGAATGTAAACTAGTACAACCACTCTGGAAAAAAATTTGGAGGCTACTTAAAAAGCTAGACATTGATCTACCATTTGATCCAGCAATACCACTCTTGGGGATATACCCAAAAGACTGTGACACAGGTTACTCCAGAGGCACCTGCACACCCATGTTTATTGCAGCACTATTCACAATAGCCAAGTTATGGAAACAGCCAAGATGCCCCACTATTGACGAATGGATTAAGAAAATGTGGTATTTATACACAATGGAATTTTATGCAGCCATGAAGAAGAACGAAATGTTATCATTTGCTGGTTGAATTGGAGAACATCATTCTGAATGAGGTTAGCCTGGCACAAAAGACAAATTCTTAAATTAGATCAGTATTTACCCAAACATATGCCACTTAAAAATTGAAAAGCAAAACATCTAAAAAATTTAGTATACTTTTTATGTAAGATACATTATAGACAAAAGTTTTGGTAAGAAATTATTTAGAATGTGTACCTCTGAAAGTAATAGAAGATAATAAACACGAATTATATGTGTGTATAGATATACGTTTGTACATATATATTTATATTTAATGCATTCAAAATGTTTTGAAGCATGAGGTGAAAGCCATCTAAGTAATACGTTGATGATTTCCTTTTTTCATTTTTCATTGTTTATTTATTGGCAGGACTGGGTTTGAACTCAGGCCCTTTGTTGAGCAAATGCTCAACCACTTGAACTCTGCCTCAGCCCTTTTTGCTTTCATTAGTTATTTTTTTAGTTTATTTAGTTATTTTTCAGATAGGTCTTGCACTTTTTGCCAGGGTCAGACTCAGACCCCAATCTTCCCACCTACACTCGTGCATAGGTGGGATTACAGGTGGCCCACTGTGAGAACCTTCTTTGAGATAAGGTCTTCTAGCTTATTCTTTGGCACAGGCTGGTCTTGAGCCATGATTCTGTGATTGCTGCCTCCCAAGTAGCAGGATTACAGGTGTGAACTGCCATGTCCAGCTTAATTTTAAGTTTAAAATTTAACTTTCAAAACTACAAAGCAAGAATACGCTGAGGAAAGTATAAAACATTGTCTTTATTATGCAAAACATCTCAATAATTACACAAATAAAAAGCATCCCAATAGGAAAATAGTTCAAGAATGCTAAACATCACTCACAAGTAAGTATGAAAATACAAATAGCCAATAAATACACGATACACTGTTTGATGTTTATAATAATAAAAAAAAGATGTAAAAGTGAAATGAGGAACAATTCATTTTTTTCACATCACCTTGAATACACCACCTTCTTTCACAAAATTCTAGTAACTTAACATTTATGGAAACATGCACTCCCCCACACTGAAAACAGGAATGTAAGGCCACAAGTTTCTAGATGGCATTTGGTGTAATAATTACCAAAACTATTTTCTCTTTTTTCCATTAATTCTGCTTCTTACTCATTTTTTTAAGAAAATAATGAGACACATTTGGACACTAAGATTGCAAAAATGTCCACCTCCACCTCCAAGGTGTTTATGATAGAGGAAAAGAGAGAAAAGGAGGAAGAAATATAGTTACATATACTTTATCAATAAGAAATTAGTTAGATTACATAATAGTCATTGACAGAAAGGTAAAAGCCATTAAAATTACAATGCGAATAATTATTATTGGGTGTGGAAGTTTACCATTGCATACTGACAATTAAAAAAAGCAATTTTAAACAAAATTTATATGACACTATTTTCCTTCAACTATCTATGTGTGTATGTGTAGCAAATTTTTGGGAGAATATGCCACAATTTTTTGGTGGTCAGCCTAATAATTTTATGTTACTACCTTTAATTTTTTCATTATCCACAATTTTTCATTGACTAGAGATATTTTATTTAGAAAATGAGCAAAGATACAGTCATGTGTATATGTATATGTAATTTCTGCAAAAGTAAAATCAAACCGATTTTTCTCATCCACAAAGTACTGCCAGAATAAAATACTTCTTGTACACTAGTAATATAAAACAAAAGATTTGAGTATTAACTATGCAAATAAACAAGAAAAAAAGGAAAGCAGCAACAGCAAAACTTTTCTAGACACCTTTGGTATGAGAATAGAAGTTTTAAAAAAACAACTTAAAGGTAAATAATTCCTGCCTCTTTTGTTCAAATGGATTTGAAGCAGCATAATAAAAGACAGTATAATAAAACTCTTTTTCAAAGGTCTAAAAAGGAGCTAAGGTAATACTGAAGAAAGGCAGGGGAGAAATGATCTGGAAAAGGATTAAAATAAAACTCATGGTAGAAAACAGTCCAAAAGATGTCACTTCAAGTTATCAGAAAATCAGTTTGTGAATGTTGGATTGATCATGGCAAAAGTGGATGTTAATGAGCTGCATAGCTCTCCTGGGTAGTAAAAGGAGGGGTAAGTTTTTAAAAGTAAACTTACCTTTCTGAACACTGAGATGGATCAATAAAAACAAAGATTTAAAAATACACAGTTTTTAAACAGAATTTCTACGTTCTATTCATGTAATTTTTATAACATTGGTATTTGGCAAAAATTTAAGGCACTGGCACAGCACTAAAGCTGCATAGGTGTGAAGAGCTCTAAAGACCAAGCCAACTGTCTTGCCTGCCTGCATTGACACAGGTTTGTAATTTGAGGAATGTATAAGTTTAGGTTTCTCTATTTTTGAATCTGAATTACTCTAGACCTGTGACAGAGTAACAAAATACACCATACTGCCTGTTTGTAGGCAACATTAAAAACCTGTGGTCATCTTAATTTAAACCATTAGAAAAACAACTATGTCAGCACATAAATTTTAAAGAAATTCTACTTTTTCCTGGTACTTAAAAGATTAATTCAAAATGAAATTCAATATTTAACTGAATGCAGACTACTAAAGTCTAAACTTTTGATTTGTCAAAAAAAATTTAAAAAATTTGATGAAAAAATTATAATCTTGCTGGCAAAAATAAATTATTTTGGAATCCTTATTTTGAATACAAGTTCATAAAAAATTAAAGCTAGCAGTAATATTAAAATAAGAAAACATGCAATAAACCCGTTATTATTACAATTCAGCTGGCTCAAAATATAATAAAAATATATCCAACTATACTATAGCTGGGTTAAAAATAGGAATTTTTAAAAATAGAAAAGTGTGACTATGTAAACTGAACCGAGTTTCCAAGACTCATTTGTTTTTCCACCAAAAAAAAAAAAAAAATGTCTTTGTATAGGAAAACTTTTTAATCATAAAATTTGCAAAATGGAACAGGGACCAGGTGGGATTTGCAGCTTACTCAGGACAACTGAGGCAGAGGTCACTACTGTCCCTCTTCTGGTCCATGCCTGGCTAGCAGGCAAGTCTTCCCTTCTTAGTGCCTCTGGGCAAGGGCAATATTGAGGGGTTTGGAACCCAAGACTCGGCCATTCATCTCCGCCATTGCTCTGATGGCCTCCTCAGGACAGGAGAAACACACCAAGCCAAACCCCTTGCTGCGTCCTTCCTCCTGCATCACCTTCACTCTGCTAATGGACCCAAAGGAAGAAAACTCCTTTCTTAGAGTGTTATCATCAATGGTATCATCGAGGTTTTTAATATAGAGCTTCACCCCGGGACACCCACGAAATCTTTCCTTCTTCAGCTGCTCAAACATCTGCTTTAACTCAGCCTGTCTCTCCACCTTCTTTTGTGCCCTGCCTACAAAAAGAGGCTGCCCGTCAATGTCCTGCCCATTCATTTCCTCCACAGCCCTTTTGGCCGCCTCATGGCTCTCAAAACTCACAAACCCAAAGCCTTTGGACCTCCCACTGGAGTCTGTCATGACCTTAACACTCAGGGTCTTGCCATATTTGCTGAAGACGCCCTTCAGTCTCTCATCATCCATGTCATCTCCAAAGTTTTTAATGTAAACGTTGGTGAATTCTCTGGCTTTGTTTCTGAGCTCGGCCTCCCGGTCCTGGCGGGTTTTGAACCTGCCCACAAATACCTTGCAGTGATGGAGCATCCGCCCGTTCATCTCCTGGATGGCCCTGTCCGCCGCACTTTGGCTCTGGAACTGCACAAACGCATAGCCCTTGGAGCCTTGGTCATCACTCATCACCTTGGAGGACAGGATCTTCCCAAAGGCTGAGAAGTGATCGTACAGGGCTTTGTTATCTATGGATCTGTCCAGGTTCTTGATAAACACATTCCCAATCCCAGACTTCCTAAGGTAGGCATCCCGCTGGGACCACATGAGCCGGATGGGTTTGCCTTGGATGAGGTCAAAGTTCATGGTGTCCAGAGCCTTCTGCGCATCAGCCAGCTGCAGGAAGTTCACATAGGCATAGCCCAGGGACCGGCGGGTGGCCAGGTCCCTGCAGACGCGGATGGACAGCACGGGCCCCACCGCGCTGAACTTGTTGAACAGCAGGTCCTCGGTGACGTCCGCGTGGAGGTCGCCCACGTACAAAGAGGCCACACGGTACTTGGCCTCTACACTCATCTCTTCCCAGCACCACCGCAGGCCTCTGCCCTACAGCTCTTGGGGCGATTCCGAAAAAGGGAGACCGGAGGCCAGCGGCCTCAGGAGCACCATGCAGAGGCTGGGCAGGGGGCTGCAGGATGACTCGGGCCCTTCACCTAAGGCCGGGCAGTGGGTGTAGGCACACCCTCCCAGACTCAGGCTGCACCCCCCATGTAAGACCGGGCGATGGGGTGCAGGTACAGGTCCCCCAGACTCAAGCGCCTCCACATAAGGCCAGGCAGTGGGGTGCAGGAGTGACTCCTCCAGACTCAGCCCAAACCCCACCGCCCGACGCAGGCACTCCCACGTGAGGCCGGGCAAGAGGGTGCAGGAACGGATCCCCCCAGACTCAGGTACCCTCTCCTAAGGCCGGGACAGGGGATGCAGGTACACATCTGATACTCAGGTACCCCATGTAAGGCCGGGCAGTGGGGTGCAGGTACAGCCCCCCCCAACTCAGGCTGCGCCCCCGGCAGAGGGCTGCAGGGCAGGCGGCCCGGCCCTGAGGGTTCCCGGGCGGTGTCGGCGAAGGCACCCCAGGAGCCGCGGCTGCCCCCCCAACTTTCCAGAAAGTTTCCGGCGGCGCGCGGCCCCCATCTGCGCGGGTGTCGGAGTAGCGCAGGCCTCGCTCACTCTCTCGCTCGCTCTTTTGCTCTCTCAGCTGGGTCGAGTTGCAGCGGCTCCGGAAGAGCTCCGCAAGTGGCGTCCGAGCCTGCGGGCCGCGCTGTCCCTGCGGCTTGGCGAGGCCACCCGGTACCAAGTTCGGCAGGCGCCGAGCAGCCCAGGGGCCTGAGACCCGCAGGCCGCGCGGCGCCCGGGAGGGGAGGGGAGGGAGGGGAGGGGAGGGGAGGCGAGGCCGGCTGGGCGGGGCCGGGGGACGGCGTGGGCGGGCGCAGAGCGACGGGGGCCCGGGCTCCGGCGGGGGCGCAGGGGGGGCGCAGGGAGAGCGGATGGGCGGGGAGCGGGAACCGCGCCGCGCCCGCCCCTCGCGCGCTCCCCACACCCCACTCCTGGAGGGGAAGGGGTCCTGCTGAGCTCGCACCCTGCTGTCCTCCGCCTTCCCAGGTCACCCCGCACTCTCTCCAGGGACCCATTCTCCTTGCATCTGTCCCAGGACTTCCCGGACCTCTGGATGGAGACACAGAAATCAGCTTTTACCCTCGGGAGTTTGAGGAAAGAAGTTTCCCCGGACTCTGATGGCGGAGGTCCTGTTGCAGGATAGCTCGGATCGCGCTGCTCTGCTTTCCAAGACACTGCACATCCCATGACCGTAGGGCCGGACATTTTACAGTCGGGGATTTGCAGAAGTGAGCGCTCGTGTTTGTGGGATGAATCAGCCCCACTGTGTGCATTTAGTGTTAACCTGTGCCTGGATTTCACACCCACAGCCCTGGGAGGGCAGCACTTCGTGTTGCGACTGTGAAATAAATGCACAGATTTGGAGATCTCTAGAACAGGGTTGGGCATGGCACAGGTTTCATGTATCATTGGTTTCATTTCCTCTAGCATTAAATAAGATTAGGAAATGTTAGACCTATAAACCTTAAAATTAGAATCACAATGTGTCTTAGAAAGTCAAAATTAGTTACCTGGAAAACAGAACTGGGTGATCAGTTATGTAAAGCAAACAGTGCTTTTCAAACTTCAGTGGGTGTGGAGATTGCCTGGGATCTTGTTTTAAAGAGGATTTCGACTCAGTAACTTGGGCTGCTCAGGAGAATCTACATTTCTAACAAGCTCCTGAGTGATGCAAAAATCTTTTGGCCTCTGATTTACACTTTGAGTAGCAACACTTCACAGCTAAAGGAGTGCAAATTTTGCGGGAAAATTTTGCACTAAAGTAAGAACTGGAAAAGTAGAAGAAAAAAGTATATTTCTCTTGCTGAAGATAATGATACTCTAGCAAACTACGGCTCAGGTTATCATACATATATACTTGGAAATGCCATAAGGAAACTCCCTGTGTAGCTATCTTAAACAAACAAAAGTGTCAATTTTTTTTCTTTTACAGAATAGGTCCTGCTTCAGGGTTGGTACCAGTGGGAAGGGGGAGGAGGTGGGGAAATGGTGAAGGAGGGTGAATATGGCGCAAATACTGTGTACTCATGAATGTAAATGGAAAAAAAATGATACCTGTTGAAACTATTCCAGGAATGGGAGGAAGGGGGATAAAGGATCTAAGTGGTGAATTTAACTGTGTTACAGTTGATATATTGTAAGAACTTCTGTAAATGCCACAATGTAACTCCACCCAGCACAATAATAAAAACAAAAGTAGGACAATTTTCACTATTTCAAATTAAAATTCAAAATGTAGTGTGCGGGAGACCAGAATACCGCCCTTAGGAAGCACACAGCTAGGAACTTTTCCTTTAAGGACAGTTAAGAAGCAGATGAGGGAAAGCTCCCTGCCCTGCCCTTACTTGCCTAAAAGCCGCACATGGATACACAAAGGCGAAGGGACTCCTGTGTGCCTGTCCACCAGCACCACCAAAGGTCTGCGGCTGTGGATGACCTTGGAACCTAATCAGGCTGGATAGTGGGACAGGAATCCACTTTAATAAAGGTCACTACCCTTGTCTGCCAGGTAATTGTCTTCCTCAAGTTGCTGCCCCAAGAGACTCTGAAATCCTTTTCCTTTGTCTTGTCACTTTTCTAAAACTTAACTATTGTTTTTGGAGAGGCTACATAGGGTGGAACTCCAAGCCACCTCTGAAATCAAACCATTCTCCAGATGACTTCTACTTGCAAATGAAATACACATGTTAAACCTCTGCTTTATCCTTGTAAATCTGTCTTTTGTTGCAACCAACAACCTATGCAGGGTTAAAGGAAAAAGGTGTTCTACTATAAATAATGGGTCTGATTCCTTCTATTCAAATTCTGCCTCATTGGTGGCTATTATTTATGAAATTTATCCTGATTTGAATTGCATCACACAGTCACTAGTAGCAATAAATAAATGTAAGTTTTTCACACTATATCTTTTAGGGTGCAAATTTTGTTTTTTTTTAAAGGGGGGACTAATGAAATAGTTGGCTACTATTAATAGATTTGAGCAATATTCTAGCACATATTTAAAAACTGAAGACACTAATTTGCACTGTTTAAAGTAAATTGAAATAGTGATCATGACATTCAATAGTATCAGATCTTTAAAAGAAGAAAGTTACTAGCTTTGTGCTTCCTAAGTATTTTGTGTTAAGACTTTTTACTTTTCAGAAATAACTTGAAGACCACACTAGTTCTTTTTACAACAGCAATCCACCTACACATAATGCCAGACCATTTGAAGAACTCATCAGCTTTTTTATCATTTTGTGAAAAGTAGGGGAGAAAGAGTTTCAAGCCTCAGAACTTAGTGCTATGTGGTTGAATCTAATACAATTGGTATCAACCCATTGGTCAAATGGCCAACAGCTATGCCTTTCTTATTTATTGTACACACGATGCTGCTTTTATTTTTGCATTTTAACAAACTGAGCATCTTTTACCACCTCTGGTTCTTCCTTCTCTCTCATTCTCTACTTCGTGCTTTGTGTCAGTTGTGTTCACGTAACATTTTCTCCATCTGGGGTGTACTTACATTTTCGCTTTCTTTTCCTCTCCCATTGCCTGCCTTTGCTTCCCTTCTTTTTGTAGCATTGCACTCATTTGTCTTCTTTCATTCGGTCTGAGTATATGCCAGTCTCTAGCATTTGGCTACCAGAACAATTCCACCAACATCTCCTCCATAAGGTTTTAGAAAAGAAATAAATGACAATTCAAGACTTTGCAGACTCAGCCTACTCTACACACATCTTCTCCTGTAAGGCTAATTCATTTGTTTTATATGTATGTGCAATTAATTCCCTAAATAATATACTTTTTTCAAGTGCATATCTAAGTTCTACCATCTTTGAATCCTGTTTTCTCTTAAAAACTTTTTTCTGTTAACAGACCAGTTGACCTTGATCACTTTTTCTTTGGATTTTTGTTTTTAATTGTTGTCCTGGGTTGGGGTACATTGTAGCATTTACAGAAGTTCTTATGTTATATAAAATATATCATACTTGAATTTACCCCTTGCACCATTCTCCTTTATCCCCCTGTCCCCCACTCCTGGAACAGTTTCATCAGGTGTTACTTTTCCATTTACATCCATGTGTACACAGTATTTTCACTGTATTCACTCTCTTGCGTGCTTTCCCTACACCCTTAACCCTCCCACTGGTATCAGCCGTCCCAGGCAGAACCTGTTCAACCCTCATGTTCTCTGGTTTTGTAAGAGAAAAAAAAAAATGACACTTTTCTTTAAGGTAGCTACACAGAGTTCCTTGTCACATTTCCATGCATATATGTCACTTTGCCTTTTCTGAAGCAATGTATTTAACGTATGCATTTCAAGTGGTGACTCTCTTTGTCATGAGTTCCTTGGTTTTGATGACCCTGACCTGAAATGGGTGCTGTGTAGGATACTGTTTAGCCACTTGTCATCGCTATGCATACTGCTGATTCCAGTGTCTTCTCCTTTTCCAAATATTCTGAAGAAAGTTCACTTAATGGACAATATTTTAGATCATTTTGAGAAATGCTATAATTTTGCCTAACCGTATGTTACTTAGTCAGTTGTCCTTTAACATACAAGCATTTTATGCAGAAGTGAGTGCTGATGGCATCCTTGTTTTGCTCACACTGCAGGAAGACGGTCAGCATTTCTGCGTCTGATATTGATAGCAGTGAGAGCATTGCTGCTGTTCTTTATCATGAATAAGTGGATAAGTAGTTATTCTGAAATTAGGGATGTATTTTAAAATAAAAATCTGTTGTACGAAACTAGACTACAGGAGTTCCTACAGTGTCCTTCCATAATTACTCTGATACAATTAAACCATGGGGGAGATTTTTGCTTTTGTTCAAAATTATCTGTATTATTTTAATTAAAAATAATTAAATGAATAAAACTTGTTTTGTTACATTATAAAACTGTTGTGTTTGGA